GTGACGTAATCGGCCTTAAAATGCGGCCTTTAAGGCTGCAGACCCTGAATTGGGATACAGCCACTGTCTCCTGATTGGTGCCAATGACAAAAGGACAGGTAGCACCCGAGAAAAACTGATATATTGAAGGCCCACTGGGAGGAGGACACACTGTGTATGTCACATATGAACAAAATGCTATAAGCTTAATTTCTGTTTCTTTACAGACTCATCTCTCTTGTAAATGAAAACACCAGCGACAAGGCGAGAGAAGGTAAAAGGTGTAAAACTTGAAGATTTAATTGTGTTTTTAAATGGCATTTTAGGTTGAAAATAATAACTGACTTCATTGTTAAATAATCTGATTATATGGAAAATAAAACTAAGAACAAATGGGACCTACTTTCAATCCTGGCACCAATTTTTCTACAGTTCAGGGTTACAGCAGGGATGGAGCACAGACTAGCTCACTATTCCACCGGAGCTCTAATGAATTATGAGTTTCCTTATTTTCTTTCATATATAAAAAGAAGCTGTTATACTGATGGAGGCTTAAATAAAGCTTTTGAATGTTTTGCTTTTGGACGCCTCCAGCACACAGCTCACTGTGAGCCCAGAAGCCCCACCCACTCACTGTTAAAACCCTTTTGTTTATGAGGGGCAGCCAATCAGAAGAAAGGTGGCTTTAAGGGAAGTGGAAGGGCGCTTGTTAGAAGCAGAGGGTGACCTGAAGGCCCAGCATAAAGATGTAGTGCAAGATGAGCAAGGATTATTTTGAACTGTGAATCATGCAAAGCCACATCAGTAGAGTCAATGAATTCAAATGTGGAGGCGGAAATAAGTGTAAATGGTTCCCTCAGTGATTTGAGTCCATAGTGAATGGCAAAGCAAACTAAGGAAAGGAAAGCTGTCTTGAATCTAGATAATTATAATTAAAATTAATGTGAAAATTTAAACACTGTGCGGGGGAAAAAAAAAAGATAAAATCGTCCAAACATCTTTAAATTAACACTTTTTGTTGCTTCCCAGAGTCGGAGGGAGAGGAGACAGACAGCATGGCCTTACTGAATGAGATCCTGGGAGGTTTGTCTGTGGATGAGGGGAATTTTTCTCAGGAGTGGACAGAAGTGTTTGGAGAGACTGAGGAAGGAACAAGTGCTGCATCCACCAGACCAACAGAGGCCCAGGACAAGGAAAACTCCTTCTTTCTACCATCACAGCTTTTGGACCAGAGTTTGAATAATCTGCAGTCTTCCATCTCAGGTCTGTGTGTGTGTGTGTGTGTGTGTGTGTGTGTGTGTGTGTGTGTG